CCTAAACCGCGCGCTCGTGCGCCCCCGACAGTTGCGGTTGCCAGAAATCTCCCGCTCTCTCTCTCTCTCTCTCCCTCTCTCTCTCTCTCCCTCTCTCTCTCTCCGTCTCACCCTCTCTCTCTCCGTTCCCATATGGTGTCTAATTACCGTACCGCCAGGCCCCTGATAAACAGCCCAACGGCGCAAGCATGACAAACAATGTGAAGGACATGACAGTCATCAATCATAATCCCCGCGCCATCGTCGCAAGTATTTAGCAGGCTAAACTCTCATCAGCGACCCGGGAGGAAGCCCTTGACCCCTCATTTTCTCTTCACGCCCTAATCGTAAACCTGTGTCGTAGGGCCGCGGCGTGAAACATAACCTGAGCTGGAACACCACGGGCTGTGATGACTAGTGGGCCTAGCAAAAACATAGAAGAGCGAGGGTGGTGGGGATGATATGGGATGATGACGGCGATGCTGATAACAATGGTTATGAAGATAAGCTCCATGTCGTGGTGATCTTGAACTTCGAGGCTCCAGCTTTGGACTCACATGCGGGGTTCTCTAACTTGAGCTCCCATTTCTAAAAGTTTAGGGCTCTCGTTGCGACTGATGCGCCAAATTGAGATCCCAAGGCATCATGACGGCGGCCCTGTACAAGGCCATGTCCGCGTAGGGCATGTGCTTCCTCAGTCGACGTTGGTGATAAGCCCTGATTCCTGAACCGTGAAACCATGTAAAACCCTGCACTCCTGGACGTTCTTGTCATGAGCACGGTTGTTGTTGAAGCCATCATGTGACTGATGCATGACAAAACGATGAACATGTCGCAACATAGCTTTGCGGGTAATACAGCCTATTCCTCCTCTTACGCCTGACGCCATCACTGAAACTGTCTCTAGCGTTGCTGGTATCGGCGTTTCTCCCCCTGATCAATTATACAGTTGTACATGTACAATCAAAACGCTGAACCCATTGAGCCCGGTTAGCAGGAATAATCCCAAGGCTTTTCATTTGGTAGGTGCAAGGGTGCATCTGCTGCCAACGCCATGGAGAGCGAACGCTCGGGGAAGGGATTCAGGGTTTTGGTTTTAGGTTCTGGGAGTCACTCTTGCAACCAGGCATCTTCTGGTCCACAAACCTGTACCTTGGTCTGTTTGGACTCGTGCAAGAAACACGTGTCGAGCTGTTCCCGCGACACGAAGTGTAGACTCAGTGTAGACTCTAGCTGACTCTAGCTACCTTCTCCCGTGAACGTGCAATATGAGATCATCATCTAAACAAATACCGTACACATACACCAAGAACATGCAATATGAGATTTGCCAACTCCATGGTATGATGTTTGGCATACGAAACCTAAGCTCCGCCTAAGCAATGTAAACGGATCTTGGTAAGTGGTAAATATGGTCTTTGCAGGGAGGGGTGTGATCAAGAAGAACTTAGCAAGCTTTGCCAACAACTCTGCATGGCACCCCGGCTGCAGACACAAAAAGCTTTGGGCGCGTGGCGGATAGGAGGGATGGCGCATCGCCATCAGTGCCATGGTGAACTGCCTCTGTTCTACAACAATCCGAGCAAAACAAGCAATCATCGCTTTGATTCTCCTCTGACCTCTCTGAATTCTTTCCGACAAGGTCAAGCAGCTTTAAAGCACCCAGCAATTGAAACGTCCCCGTTAGGCTGGGCCCGGTGCACGTCCCGAACGAGCCGGCCACGATTGATGACAAGCACCTCCTGTGAGGGAAGTGCTGTGGGGCTCGGTCTTCTGCAGGTTCGGGCTTGCAGGATGTTCGAAGGAGTTTTTATCGTCCATGGAATTTAATAAAGAATAACTCATTCTGGAGTTTTTGAGGTTGCCAATGAGGGTGCAAGATGCATGCGTGTGTTTCCGGTTTGCGGCAGGGCAAGGCAACGCACAGGCCATGATCATGGGTAGTTTGGCAGACTTGTTTCAGAGTCCAGGGCACATGCTAGGAGAAAAAGATGGACCACACAAGTCGCAGAGTTGCACAAGTTGTTCCTCAACCTTCGGCCCCTCAGCCAAGGTGCTTGTGGGAAGAATCTGTTTAGGGTTCGGGCTAGGCTGCAACAGCCCGTGGCGAAAACAACCTAGATCTGCGACCTCATGCCACAACGTTGCTGCTTAGCATCTTCGGAGCCTGTGATGTGGTGAGTAGTCATGAGCACTGGAGACTGGACTGCACCAAAGTCTGAGCTAATCAGTGTAATGAAGGGACCATCCAAATTAGAATAAAATCAGGAGCCGAAGGGCTCCTTGCTGTAATGACTTAAGCTCTCTTGGCCACTGGCTCGGAGGGACCCCCAAGAAGCCCTCCCAAAGACGAGAAACCGGCGAACCTTCACACCTCAGGTAGGGCCCAGGAAGAGTAGGGGCCCTCGTTTGAAGAACACTGCCAAGATTGAGTTCAGATGAAGGCCACTAAGCAGGCGTCCTCCTTTATGAAGCTTAGCAGTCAGCGATTCACACCCTTTCTCGCCCGATCAGCACTCCAGCTGGGCCTCCCAGCTGTCACTCCTCTCCTCTCCTCTCATTGGCGGAGAGTTGGGCTGAATGATGATGCCGGTGATCGCAGCTGCCTCGCTCGTCACCACGATCTGACCACCGCCCCGCTCCCGATAGACTTTCTTTTTCGATGGGTCGTACTTCACCTCGACGATGGCTCGGTGAAACATGTCATCCTCGAAGACTCTCTGAGCTCTGCCATACCAGGTCGCAGTTCCCAGCTTTGGTGTCAGGTAGAGACCTGGCTTCCAGAACTCATGGCCAGCATCCTCATTCACTGACTCTAAGAGCACTCCATGCTGTAAGATGCTGCCCAATCCGTAGAACCAGGTGCCGTGATAAGCCCTTTTCCACCCACGGCCCGGCCTCATCCGCGCGTTGCAAGCCCAAGTCGGGCCCTTCTTAACACTCGGCGCCTTGTACTTGAAGTACATGAAAGGCCTGCTTGGAATACCCAGCTCGGCAGAAGGATCCCTCCTTGCATCCCTCCTCAGGCAATCCTCGAGGCCGCGATCCTGAAGCCAGTCTTGGAAGCTGCGCAAAAAACGTCTCTGACCTTCTTCCTCATCGGCGAAGTCCTTTGGGTCGATCGCCTTCCTCTTGCGCCCTCTTCCGAGATTCCGCCAGCCTCCAACCAAAGCGGCACGCTTCAGCTCTGCCGCTTGAACAGCACGGTCGAAGCGCGCTCTATTGAACTTCCGAGCTTTGGTCTTCTTCTTACTCTTCGAAGATGGCAAGTTCTCGAGTTTGTCCGACGGGCGCCCTTGGACCTTCTCGACACTCTGAGAGGAAGCTGCGCGATTCTTTCTCTTCTTGCCTGATGCTCGTTTCACTCGTTTCGGCTTCGGGTGCGGAGGCGCAGCCTGCACACGGCGATCCAGCAACGTTCCAAACGCCCGGATGCGCGGTACGTCCTCCAATCCCCGATCCCCGAAGTCCTCGCACTTCTGAAGGGCAGAGCTGAGGCGGCCCATAGGTTTTTAGCCGGGAGAGCGAATCTTTGGAGGTCTTGGGACAGACAGCTCAAAAAATATAGGAGCCTGCGTAGCTACTGCTATTCTTCCGGTTCCTTGAGGGTTCCTTAATATGAACCTATCATATATATATATATATATACACACCGTACCCCACGATCATCGTCTAAATATTCAGGCCCCGATAGAAGCATTCAGGCATCAGTGTTGAGTTGGTAGCATTGGGTAGCCCTTAGGAATACTTTTCATGGGTAATCTGAGGCCTTTTTCAGGCCAAGACAGCTGACTCTTCAGCCAAGCTTCAGGGCAGAAGGGGGTTTTGGGGGCTGCAGCTGCTCACAGTGCTAAGATCACTGGCAGAGTAAGTCACTGCAAGTATGATCATGCTCACCTTGTGGTACCTGGGAACCAGGAAGTACCACACTTGATCGGCACGGACGCAGGTTCAGCATGGTTTAGTATAGTCTGTGCAGCTAGTTGGAGCAATTACAACGGTTTGTGACGGATGCGTCGACCTGCACCCACTCTGAAGCATTGCAAGTGCCGAGTGTTTAAAGCTTTGTGGTTGAAGCGTTTGCATGGGCCTTTGAAGCCTTTTTGGTGAGGTGTTGGTTTGAGGTCGAGGGGTCTTCTCTGCAAGCTACATGCGATCTTTAGAGTGTTGCTTTCTGGCCTGGAATGCATTAACCAGTGCCAGCAGCGTAGCACATTGAATTTTCATGCCTCGTGGCACACGCAGCCGAAGCCACTCTACTAGTGATTGGTAGTGACTCAAACAAATTCAGAGGCGACCATGTCGGGTTGGCCTGTCCCCGAAATCTTAGGCAATCAACCTGAACTTTCCTCCAGAGAAGCCTTCGGATATGATAGGACTTCTAGTAAACCAAAAATGAAGCTTACGTGCTTGCACAACCAAAAGGAGCCTCGGCTCAACTCTTCTTAGGGGGCACTCCTGCCCCTAGAGTAGCCCTTAACGTACCCATATAGAAGCCCTGATAGAAAACCTTGTTCTTCTATAGTAACCCTTATACAAAGCCATAAATCATAGCAACCCCTACAGTAGCGCTTAAGGTCATCTTGTCCTTTACCTCGATATCTTTCAACCCTATCAAACCGCGAATCCTAGATCCTTCGTGAAGCCTTAAAGAAACTTTCATAACCCTCTTAAGCCCTTACAACACGAAACCCTGTAAAACACCACAAAGCCCTAGAAAACCTTCAAGCAACCCTCATAGTACACCCTTAGAAGAATCATAATCATAGCAGCCGTAGTAACCCCCTAAACCCTAAACCCTTTTTTTGAACCCAGACTCTTACTAACCCTAAACCCTAAACCCCTAAACCCAAACCCTAAACCGTAAACTTGAACAGTAAGCCTTCGCAGGCCCCCTTCCGGAGGCACCTCCAAGGCGAGCTCGGCTCGGTGGGTGGCGCCAACGTACAGCGAGAGAGGCCGCACGCTGGGATTGTGAAAACCTTGGGCTCGGTGTTTTTGTGGTTTGGGTATACTATGTATCGTACTATAGTCTAAGCATAGTTTCCATAAATCAATAAATACATAAATAAATACATTTATATATATATATGTATGTGTGTGTATGTATGTGTTGGTGTATGTATGTATGAAGTATATGTATATAAGTCTGAATATACACCTATATATATATATAGGTGTGTGTGTGTGTATGT